GGCGCCAAAAACCTTCCAAAAAAATTTTGAAAAACTAAGTGGTACAAAATGTTTCAAATAATCCCCTGACATGTTTCTGATAGAAAAAATGCAATTCCATTGGGTGCGGGAAACCTACCTTATCCGCTCTCCTCCTTTAGTGTTATTTCTATCCATAATAACAAGAAGAGGATGAAAAATGTATATCTATTTGTGTAAGCTCGTGTGGTACAATGGCGTAGGTAGAAGATTATTGACCTCTAGGTACAAAGTTCGACTCTCTGCACGAGTTGTGTTTCTTGCTTCCTTTTTTTCACCTCGATTTACAACTAATTATAACGCTTTTTATATCTAGCGATTCTTTTTTTTAAACAGCTAGACGAACCGTACGCTTGATCGGTAGATGTACCTAGTTCTTATTGTTTTCTATCAACCACAATTTCTTACTAGATGCATCGGATATTGCATCGTGTAATCGAGTAAAACCCGATGCATGTAGATAACCCGATATTTTTGACTCTTTTATCTTGATACTTTTGCTGGAGTATCGGGCGATACCCCAGCAAGTGTATCTAGATTTTTTCGCTTACGAATTCATGCTTGGGATTGATTATAGAAACGATACTGTCAAGGATTAACCAAATTTGTTTTTTTTGACTTTCCATATATTGTTAAGCCCTTGGGCTGTTACAAAAAAAAGGGGTTGATGCACAATAGACTAATAAACACAGTTGTAAACAAAAAAGAAACACTAATACATAAGAAAAATGTTACATTTCGGGAAGGGTATGAAGATATTGATTAACACTAAATTAAAAGTTATCACAATAGAGTTTATATATTAGCTGAACCATATGCATTAAACTACATTGACTCGAAAAGGATAAATTAAGACCAAGTGAATAAAAACAAAAAAAAACGGGAATCAGGATAACTTCTCTCTATTACTTCTTTTCTTTATTGTGAACAAAGGCAAGCCATGATATCAGCACGGATTTATGAGTCTTTATTTGCTTTATGACTCGTTTGTTGTTAAAATAGTGTCCTGTTTTCAGTCTTTTAGCCGGGTGATAATAATCCCAGTAAAATACATCTTCTAGGATTGGAGAGTTGCACAAATCAGAATCGTAGAAGCGCAATAATCTCCTTTTTAAATAATTAACAACATAGTAGTCCAATTGCTCCTCCTTACATAAGTCAAAAAGTTCCTCCCTATCGGCGTACGGACATCTATGCACAAGGCGAAGTCCCACCCTGAACTTTTGGTTTAAAATTTGGACGAGGGTGTGTGGTAAGAGGGTGTAAATTGGGAAGAGCCACGAAAAAAACGGAAATGAATACGCGAAAAAACTCTGCTGCCTTAACTTATTTGAACCTTGTTTACCTTTTGATACCTTAACTTAACAAAAGATTTTTGAATTTTTTCTACTGCGTCGTTTAAAGTAGGTTTCAGAGACAGCTTATCTGACCAACTGAACCCAAGATACTTAAAAATTATGACTTGCTCTAACTTATAGCCCGCCATTGACAGCGAGATAGTGCGTCTCTTAATCTGAGAATGAAATATCTGGAAAACAGTTTTACTATAATTAATCGGTTGTTCATGGTCAATCGAATGCTGAAGAATTCTGTTGCACACTCTCTGCCCCTCCTCCTCTAGATACTTTAACATTTGACTTAACTTTGGCCTAATTGGAGGAATTACTGTTACTTGCAGGTCGTCTGCAAAAATCCCGCTTGAGTGCGCGCCCAACTTATTAGGTAGGTCACAGTGAAAAATAATGAACAAGATCGGTGACAACGAACTGCCTTGGGGTAAACCTACTCCGATCACAAAAGCATTTGAGTCGCATTTCCCAAAAATAATTTTGGCTTGTCTGCCTCGTAACCAGTTCCAGACTGCTTTTAACAGATTTAGCGGCGGCATTCCTAACTTAAATAACTTGATAATAAAAAGGACAAGTGGCAGAATGTAAGGTTTCGTGCCCAAAAAATTACGCAATGAGTCATACATATTCGGAATCAGCGTCGAATTCTGAGTAAAACTGTATTCTCAGATCGTTCAAATTCGCGAAAAAA